GGGGGGGCCCCCGGGGCCCCGGCGGAGCCTAGCCCGGCCCTGGAGCTGCTGGGACTGAACCTAGGTGCAGGTGAGCAAAGGGCGAATGAACAAACGGGCTCTCGGGAAGACAAGGCAAGTGTGCAAAAGAGGTGTGTTCACGGGCCTGTTCAGCACGCTGGAGGAGGCGGGGAGCCACCGGGTGCAGTGTGGGAGGGACTGCGATGGGGACCAGGTCTCAGTGCTCAGGTGAGGGCTGGGAGAGGGTCTCACACCTTCCCCCGGGGCCGGGGAGAGAGGGGGGAGCGCCATGCCCACCCCCAGACACAGGGAACGCAGGCATCGCGCAGTCCCACAACCCCCCTCCTTCCCGGGACCGAGGGCTGGCGATGGGGACCAGGTCTCAGTGCTCAGGTGAGGGCTGGGAGAGGGTCTCACACCTTCCCCCGGGGCCGGGGAGAGAGGGGGGAGCGCCATGCCCACCCCCAGACACAGGGAACGCAGGCATCGCGCAGTCCCACAACCCCCCTCCTTCCCGGGACCGAGGGCTGCCCACATCCCTCAGTAGTGTGTGCGTGTCTACATGGGGAGAAGCAGCAGCCGTCGTGAGGACACAGGGAGGGCACCAGGGGGGTGAGAGGCAGCAAGGACACGCAGCACTTGGCAACCTAGCGGCGAGGGAGGAGAGGGCAGGGGAGGGAGGGCAGGGGGAGAGACCAAACACACACCCAGCCAGGTTCACAGAGCGAGACATGTCTCCTGCACCAGGTGTCCCAGGGAAACACGTCTTGTGAGGCTCCACTTTGCGGGGAATCGCCTGCCCTCCATCCACTGAAACGCTCTGGTGCCAACGGCAGTGGCGAGGGGCCGCAGAGACCTCCTACCGGATCCCGTGCACTAAGCTGGTACCAGGGAACAATGACGAAGGGGGTCAGACAGCAGCCACGCGAGCTTTCTCCCCTTCTGCAACGGTGCCTTGCTCACGCGTGAGCAGAGGGGCAGGAAGGGTCAGCGGGAGCCCAGGCTAACACTTACTGCAATTTTGTCTCCAGCAAGTTCAGCTTCTGCTGGTCAACGTAGCGAGAGAAGAGGGAGATCAGGTTCGAGGGGGTGGACACTGGCTTCGCCAAGGCCACCTGGGGGATCCGCAGCAGCTCCCGGGTTGCCATGAGCATCAGCTCCGTCCTGCCAGAGAGGGGCACAGGGAGAAGGGACAAGTGAGAGACGTTACCACTCCGGGAGCTAGGTGGCCTGGATGCTTCCCAGTTCCCTGCTGGGGACAGGGGCACCCCGGGTAAACGTGCCTAGCAGTGTTTTGGCACTGGAACCAAGCAGGAGATGGTGGCACAGAGATACCGTGCTGTATCCCCAGCGGCATCGCTGCCTCCCTCCCCTGCACCCTGCTCCTTGTGTTGGCTAGGCAGTGCGATGCCCAAGGCACAGCAAGCGGGCGGGCACTCACCACTGGTTGTCCTGCATTAGCTCCGTGTTCGCATCCGAGCTCTGCAGTTCCTCCCCACGGCTCAGGACCAAGTACAGCAGGGACAGGCCGAACTGGCAGGGGGAGAGAGGCTCGTGAAGGAAGGACACTGGGAGCAGGCTGGGCTTTACGATTGCCAGCATGGAAACGTCTTGCTGGTGCCGACAGAGGTGCACGTCCCCCTCGTGCGACTAACTCTCACTTCC